GTTGTGCACACAACTGTAGTAGTATATGTGTATGTGTCCCCTTATTCCATTCAACGTGACCTGTTTTCACAGAGCAGCTCGTTTTATTCACGTGGGTCCCGCCAATAGAGTGTGTATATGCTGTTTTCGTTTTTGTTGTTTTATATTTCTCTGCCCGAGTTTAAAAATAAATTTTCACACTAAAGTACGCCTACGTTGTCACCGTTAATTAATTAATGTTGCTCTAAGTGTTGTGTCGTTCTTATATAGATATCTTTCTTTTTTTCTTTTCTTGAGAAGAGATTGGTGGAGGAACAGCGATTACGTTTGGAAAACATTGAATTCTCCCGTTGCTTTATATTCAAAAATTCGTTTTATTCTTTCATTAGCCAAATTAAATTATTTTTTCAACTAAGCAAACATAATGTTATTAAATACACGAAATCGTATACATGTTTTTATTTTTTTTCTACCACTCGAATTGCCATACGGAAAAATTTTCTAATTTTACAATATTTAATTTTATAAAACACATTGTCATATAATTAATACGAAAATGCTTATAAATCATATATAAATACAATATTATATATTTTAATATAATACAATATAAAGAAAACATACTTTTCGTTAAAAATCAGCAATATTGTACTTTATGCCACGTTAACAATATAGTTTAGTGACGTGATTTCAAAATGAAAAAAAAAAAAATATCTCCAAAAATATTTTCAGATTATTTTATATCTTGAACGATTTGAAACAGTAAAAACCAAGATAATGTAGAGATATCAAAAGGCTATAACAATTATTTTTTATTTTATTTTATTTGCTGCATGAATAAAACATTGTTTTGAATATTATAAAAGTATTTCATAAATAAATCTTTATTAAATGATAATCGAATAAACGTTTTTGAAAAGGGGATAATATGATTTATATTTCCAAAAAAAATATTTTAGCGAACATATATTTTTTATTTGTTTTTGTTCGGTATTTTTTATTAGATTAGGGTAAACTCAAAAGAATCGAATACGATGTTTTCGTTTTAAATTTCAATAATTTTCATCAACTATAGTAGAGAAAATCGACAGCCAAATAAACAAATTCCAACAGTTTAAAATTACACAAATACCTACATTCTAAATTCGTTTTTCTGACTTCTTTAGATTCACTTATCTGTGTATATTAAAACTTCCGCACATCTAACCATAGGCATCTAACCAAACTACATACCCTGAACGCCTATATAAACAACAATTTATATTCTATTTTTTTGTAGGTTGCTATTTTTCTTTGTAATTTCACTTTTCACATATACATATAGCTACATAGCTATAGCTTTTTTGCATACTATAAACACGAAGTTTTGCTAGGCCTATGAATCTAACCAGTATGTCAATCATTTTCTTTGAAATTTATTTTTAATAAGTAGCCAGGAAAAAGTTGACTGAATGAGATTATCAGATTGTATGAATAACAATGTAAAAGTAATCACATAATAATATGTATTGTAATCTATTTTGAAATGAAATATTAAAAGTGTTTGCACATTTTATTATAATTAAATATTGCTCATAAATAGATTATATATATATTTGTTTTTCATTAAATTAATTAAATTATAATTATATTGTTTATAACTATATTTATTACGTTATTAATTAAATAAAACTGACCTATTCATGTACAATAGTTCATTTTTATTAAAAATTGACGTATGAAGTGTGTATTTTTATTTTACTGTACTCATATTTAAACATGTTATAATTATTACAATAGAGTAAAGATAATGCGAAATTATGAAAAGTATTTATGATATGTATAGATGCATCTCGTAACATACTGTTAATGTGTATTTTTACCGAAAATCTTTTTGTATAGAAATTGTGGCGTCACAGGTCACCTACTTCTGTAAAGGGGTGTGTTTGAGAGGGTTTAATACACTCGCATGTATACATTTGGCACTACCGTGAATTATGAGTTTTTATTCTATAGCCTAGAATGGGGCTAAATCACCGCTGCCGCCGCCATCAGGGTGGGATTGAAACTATTAAATTACGCATGGACTAAGGATTTGCAGGGGGTACACTAAGGGGAGGGGGGCAAGGTTGTTGGGCGCCAAAACCAAAACTTTCCCCAAATTTATTTATCGTTCCCCCGGCAGTTGTTTTCGAGCTATGCGTATTTATGCGCGCGCGCGCTCGTGTGTGTGTGTTTGTATGTGTGTATATAAGTGTATGTGTACATTTATGTGAGTCTGTATAAATGTGCGTGAGTACATGTATGTGTTTACTAGAAAGGGATAGAAGGGAAAAGTGATGTAGAATTTACTCGTAATCAAACGCACCGGGTACACTGGAGAGGTATACAGTTCGAAATAAAAAAAACATATATCAAAGTATCCCCCAAAGTCGTAAAAAAAATCGTAATTTCCAAATAGTGATAATGTCATGAGATTTATACTAAGTAGATGAAAATATAGACTATACATTGAATTATGTATTATGAAAATTTAATAACACCATCGCTTCAATACAATGCCTATACAAATAAATTGATAAATTATTAATAATAATGATAATTTGAAAATTATGTTTGAAATATTTCATATATAAATATATATAAAATAAATATTTCATTTTTTATAAATTGTAATAATTTAATGAAATATGATGAATAAAATACTATCATCATACAAATTATGCCTATGTAATTATACAGTCATATTATATTACTGAACGATTGTTTATACATAAAAATGTTAGATGTAATATACTTTAGGTATTGATAACTATTGTTAATCATGTCATGCGTTTATAATGCTAATAGTTAATATATTTGTTGGTTTTCAGTGAATTTTTGAAGTACAAAAAAATTTCGAAAAATCATTGTATGATATTAATATTGAGATTAAATTCATATTTGAGTAATGTAATTAGTAGATATTCGTGCCTAGTTGATTTTAAAATGTATAATTTAAATGTATTATGTTTAGCTGTTTAATTAATTATCCTTAATCTTAATTATGTATAGTGAACAATTATTAAATTTATCATTATATTGCAACTAATAAGATTGAACTCTTTCTTATGTAAATACACTCGTATATATAGTTAACACTTTTTTTCGTCATATTTCAGTTGGAAATAAATTATTATAATCATTACTATTATTATAAAATGTGTATTGTAGTATTTTATTCGGTGTATCTTAGATTATAAGTTATAACTAAGGAACGGATTTATATGTGATAAAAATACAGAAATATATTCATATATATAGAAGTATAGTTTATAAAATATGTGCTAAAAAACATCCAAATATGTGGGAAAAAATGTAATTAAAAAAATATACAATTATAATTATTAAATTATCAAAATGATTTGTCGCATTGAATTGTTAAAATTTCTTTTGAATTATTGAAAAATAAATGTCACTTTTTAGGTCTCAAAATATTTTTAAAATGGCTAAATGATCGATGATCAAATCAACCGATGTAATTGGAACATATTTGAAGCACATAATATCAGGAGGCGATAGTTTTAAATTTTTAGAATGGTGTCTGCCACTCATTACGTCATTGTTTGCTTTAAAATTAATATAGTCTAGATTTTTTTCTGTAACAGTATGAATTTTCATTTTTCAAAATCTTCTATTGGTCCACTTACGAGTTTTAATTTTTCAATCGCTGATTCGACAATTTGCATACTATCATGTAATGTCATATTTTTTGTTTCTAATTTTGTAAATATTTGTGCAATAAAACTAAAATTCATTGAGATGAAAATTAAATTATTTTTCAATGTTTCATTTTACATAATATTTTAAGCTTTTCCAATAGCGATAAAAGTTTCTGAATCTAATTTTGATAGTTTCTTAAATTTTCGGAAAGTATTCACAATAATATTCAGCAGTTACCAACCATGTTCCCCACCTAGTAATTATGGGCTCGGGTGGTAGAGAAAGATCGGGGTATAATTCTTTAAAAATTGTGGTATGACTAGGTTTCAAAATTTTTCTTTTTTACATTAGCTATGAGAGAATCAACGATAGGATCTTCTACCCTGATTGTCTTTGCTATACGATGAAAACTATGCGCTAAACATGTAAGATGTATTAACTTAGGATAAAAAATATTTAATATGCTTTCCTTGCCTTCACCATATAAGGAACTGCATTATCAACAAACAAAAGTAAATTTTCGTGGTTTATTCCACTTGGCTAGAGTAAACTCATACTCATTAAACAGTTTTACTATTGTCTAATAATTTGATTTTTCAAGTTTTTCACGGTTAAGTATTAATGGATTAGTAGGCTGATCGTATAATTGTGTTTAAAATTATTTACAAATTAGTGAAATATGGAAAAATATGAAAAATTAAAGTAGCATAATTTTAATAGGAATGATTTAAATCATGAACATTTCTTATTGAATCTTAAATATCTTATTTTAATAAAGATATGCACTTACATATAAATCCGTTCCTTACTTATAATATATTTTCATCTTTAAATATTTTATCATTGTAACTATCGAGTATTTTACGATTTGTACAGTTATAACATAATACTTTTATAACATTAGGAACGACAAGGCGAAACCTTTAAACAATAGTAAAAAAAAAAAAAAAAAAAAATACAGGAGGAAACAACTACGGAAAATTTGTAAATATCTTTGTATAAGAATAGATTCTTTTTGTAGCTGTTTAAATATCATAATGTATTTGTATGCATATACACATATTAAAACAGTTAAGTAGTTTTTGAATTTTTTATCATTCGTCGTGTTATTTTCTTTAAAATCATTTTCTTTGCCGTACACCGTTAGTATATGTATACTGAATTATTTATAAAAATACTATTGTTGTGACGTAAAGATGTGTTGGTACTTATTATAACATACATAATAAAAGCGTTTTCAAAGATAACCTATCTACGGAATAAAATCTATCTATCAATATTTAACAATATTTAAATAGTACAAATTTCGGCTAAAATTATAAATAAATTATTCACTATACCTGTGTCGGACTCGTTGACTGGCATACCTATGCTGTTTGAGTTGTCGTTGACTAGAAACGAGTCGGCTGTGGTGTTAGCCGTAAACGTTTGTGGTGATAACGTGAGATCATGACCGTTATCCGAATCGAACAGCTCGAAACCAGGTGAATCCGTGCTTTGGCCATCGCCTGCAAGATAAACAAATAAGACCATTATGCGATTATTATATTATAATCATACAGACCTAGTAGGATAACTGACATATACAATTATCGTCATTAATACTGCGGTTATTATAGTAAGAACTTAATCAACGTAAGCCTACGCATTTTAGTATGTACATAAGAAAAGATAATTATTATTTCATGATTTTTCGTATTGTAAAAACTGTCAAATATCGTAGTGGCTGAGTTATGTGGTTTGAACGCGGTCTTGAAGTTCCTCACTCATTAGGTAGGAGATTGTCCAGAAAATGAGTTTCTCACCACCAATATCCTCCCCCCGTGAACAGAAGACAACGGCAATCACTCAGTAAAACTTCGGAAGTAAATGACAGGTTTACAAAAATCAACAGACCAAACCAATCTAATTTTCGCAGAATAAAATAAAATAAGAGTAAAACCCTACAATGGCATACAGGTAAATTACATCTTTAAACCTATAATAGTATAATTTTAATATTTAATTATTTGCTCATGAGACGCCGAGTTTATACTTCCTTAGGTCAATAAATCGTAAATACTTAATGCGTTTGGATACCAAAGGCTGTTGATTAAATATACTTCAGAAAAAGTTTCAAAACGTAATTGAATAAGTATATAATACAAAAATGTATTCTTTCGTGTTAATTACCTGTATATGTACACATAGGTTTAGGTCATAACCAGGAAGGAATTTTTTTTTTAAAAATAGAGTTGAATGAAACATTTTTGTATATGTAGTGTTATTGGGAAATTATTGGAATGATTTATTACGTTAAAACGACTATTAATTAATTTTATATTTAAATATAAATAATACTTTAAATTCATATTCGTTTAAATAAAAAACACACACACATAATCATGTTCTAGAACGTGATGTACGAACATTAGATTTGTCTGTGTAGCATGTATAAACATTTTCGGTAGTAAAAACATTTCGTTTAGGCTCTAATCTTGAGCACGTTCAGTTCTAATGTTTTGCAAAGATTCCAATTACCTCCCTCGAGGTACTTTTGTCTTTAGAGAGCCCTGTAATCGTTCGTACTACTGCACCTGTGGGTTTACGATCCGGTGACGTTTCAGCAGCTGCACCTGAAGAATAGTTCTCCGCGGCCCCTTATTATATACATCGTCGTCTTCATAGAGTAATAACGCTCAGCATGTTTCGGCTTCGCGCACGCGTTATATAATAATAAATGTTTTTATTGCGGATTTCCATACACTGCGAATTCCTGTTACCAACCAGCTGCGCGGATAAAACGCTCATAAATCCTGCGCAACCGAGGAGGTATATTGGCATAAAATGGTGTACACACTCGCGTGCGAAAATACTATACACATGTGTAAATAAAACGGTCGGGGCAGATTTATAAATATATATATAGGATCGTGTGGAGTGGTGAGACATGATAGGTAATCGTCTGTTGTTGTTTTTCGCGTGAAATTCTCATTCGCGCAGCGCGCGGCTTCTGTTGCGCTGACAGTCGGCTAAATATAATATTATACGCCCGTCCATATCGTCCTACGGTGCGTGTGTTTGTACCATACAAAGTAGGACGATCGAACTCGTACCGTGAAATCTATACGCGCCCCTAATGCGTTTCCGACCAACGGGATTATGAAAAACGAATTCACAATTATTTTCACCTCAGCCCCCTCATATTCCCATTGAATTGAAACTGAAAAACTATATTAAATTCACTATTTTCCGGGTATCGGATGGAAGTTACAAGTTTACTCGGTAGTTCCTCATAACACGATGTACTCGGCCGCAAGACTTTGAAACTTGGATTTCAGAACATAAAGCAATTTAATATGAAGGTTTGACGAAATTGCTTTGCGTGTCGACCGTGAATAATATAAAAAGCCCCGCCACCCGTTCGCCCGTCGGGTTCACACGTGTAATAATAACGATAATAACACGGCTGCAGAGAGGAGAGGAAAAACTCGCGCCTGGTGCCAAAATGGGCAATATACTATTCAGTGAGGGCTGTGCAAAGGAAATCCGGCAATGTGATATCTCGTGATATATTATTAGAAACATAAAAGCAAAAACTAAAAAATAAAAACAACGTATGAATGGGCGAAATAAATGGATTTTTGTGAAATAATAAAAAATAATAATATTACAGTATTTACGGAAATGTTTTTTTTTGCGGTAGAACCGTACAGCCACAACAAAGAACGCGATGTGAATCACCGTCTGAGGTTCAAATGACGCTTCATAATATTTAAGTGTAATTTTTTTTTTTTATAAAATAGACCAGTAAACGCATAGGTATAGGTTAATTCTAGTACAGCCACACAACACATTTAAAATCACATTCGTCGGTAGAAGAAATTGTATTCGATACGAGTTCATTAAAAACCTTTTCAAATTCCAAAAGCTTATTGAATCGGTGATAATGCTGCAAAACTTGAAGTTTATCAACGGTGAATACTCCAATCTTTTAAAATAATATTATAAATTTAATTTTGTTTGCTGAACTCAAGGTAATAATTATAATTCCACCACAATCACTCACACTTTTAAGAACAATAACGTTATTAAAACTATTAATGCTTTTTGCAGACATTGAAAATGGATGAAGTAGAAATATAATGCTGATGCAACAAAGCACCGTTATTGATTCTTTTATATTTCCTTTATTTTGTTAAAACTAAAATTTTATTTAACAATCAGCATTATAAAGTTTATTCATAATATAATACATAAAATGGTAGCATGTAATATAATTTACATGAAATAGCTGTTATCAAGTTGTGATTTTCAAGGATATCTAAACTTTTTATATGCAAGAAACAATAAATCAATGTAAAATGGAAATAAATTGATTACGTACTATAATGTAAGTACAATAACTGTAAGCTAAAATGGTTTTTAATAAACAAACAAGAACAATTAATATTTAATAAATTTTTAAATTTTTAAATTATTTGAACATTAAAAATTCAAAAGGTATAAAAAAAATACAAGGTAAACTCTATTTTATAAAATGTTGATTACATTTTTAATGAAGTTTCATTATAAATAAAGACGGATTTAAATATGTTAAGTTTACTTTTTTCGTGCTCATATATTAGTATAAGTACTTATTATCTTTATAGTTGTATATAATATTTCCCTTTGAAGTTAAATTATACTGAAGAAATATATCAAGTAAAAATGTATAGTACTTATACTTGTATGAATAATAAAATAAAGATTATAATTAGATTTTCATTTTAAAAATTGCATATTGTTCTAGATATATTACTGTATCTACAGTAATTTAAATTTCAAATATGATCGACAAAGTTATATCTCAGTTAACTACAATAGTATACAAATATAGATCATGTACATTATACAAATATTATGAATAGTTGTAATATAATTACAAGTGATAATTACATAATTAAAGATTATTAAAGATATATATGCCATAAACGCAATGGAGATTGAATATTTGTTTTTTGGATTCGATAGTGTGGTATACACTGCGCTCTGTTTATAATATAATTCTTAATTATTAATTAATTCTTAATTATTTTAATTTAAACTATAAAAATAAATAAGTACTTAGCCTGTAGTATTATTGTATACTAGTGATGAATTAATATTATTTATTAATTTACAATAATATATTATTACTATCACATAACAATATTCCAGATTAAGCACTTGTTTAGTTATTTATTTTTATATATAAATTATTTATTTATATATTAATTTACGAGTAATAACAATTTGCTAATTATTGTTTAATTTTATTATTTAAACATTCAGTTGTTGGACCAAAATGCAATAGACGAAATATTTTATCGTCTACCAACAGTATTAGTAGGCGAACAAGATACATTTTTGACCCACTGATCAACTTGTACGTTTCATTCATACGTGTGTATATATAGATAAATCAAAGAATATTTGTAAAATTTAAAGAATACTAAAATACTGATGTATAGACCCTATGAATATGTATGTGGCGCGCTGAACCTGTCAAGCCGCAACGGTGTTTCTATCGTCATTATAACAATGTTAATTATTATTAATTTTTAGGTTTTTAAGCAGAGATTCCTGATATTATACTTATACCATATAACACTATACGTACACCGAATTTCATAAATATTATTTATATAAATCAACGCAATTGGTCGCAGCTGAACTTTGTACAGCTGCTGTAGCAGTGTAATAATATAACATTCGACGACGCAACGTCATTATTAATACAGCCACCTTTCTCGCCACCACTACACCGTACACGCGTTTTCCGTTGTGCATTTATTTATTATTATCGTTTTTTTTTTTTTTTATGGCCGCGAGCGAAACGAAAAACCGTCCATATATCAATGGTTTTATTGTCTCGAACAACTTTTGTCCGAGACATTTTCCTCTGGCCGTTTTAAAATATTGTTCACCGCTTCCGGCGCGGATCCGAGGAAAAAAAAAGAATCATTTTTAGGGGCCCTCACGCGTACGAAAACACCGCGTGACCGCACGTATCTTACCGCTAAAAATTCCATGCAGTTTTTGGCAAAACAATCATAATAGGGTATTGACTAAGGACTGCATTTATAGATGAAAAATTCTCGTCGAAACGAAATATTAAGTTATCTATTAGTATAAGTATCTATCAGTATAAGTGTTATTGTGTGCATATTTGCAACATTCATATGGCAGTGAGTATATCGTTTACGGGATTCGGTGTCATTTATTACAAAAAAGTAAATATAGGAATATATATTCGTACAAATCGAATAACACGTAAATTGTATATTTTAATATTTTTAATTAAAAGCTCACCATCTACTTTATATTGTATAAAATCTAAGCAGTTCAGTTCCAACATTTCCAATTAAGAGATATTTTTGGCATCATTAAATTTAAAATGGTGAATATTTTTTTTTCGATATAATTTTATAAGCGATTTACTAATGACATACCCACAGCAGCATTATAATATATATAATATAATTATATATTATATATTATAATATAA